ACGAGAGAGAGAGAGAGAGAGAGAGAGAGAGAGAGAGACAGAGAGAGAGAGAGAGAGAGAGAGAGAGAGAGAGAGAGAGAGAGATTTGTGACTTGAGACTTGACGACATTTGGATTCAGACTCGACATTGCGACCGAGACATTGGACGAGGCATTATTTGGGACTTATATCGAAGACTTGATGTTGACGACATTCCCATCTTACCCCTCTTCTTCGTCTGATCCCCCTCCTCCTCGTCTGTGTATGTTTGGGACTGGCGCATTCTTTCTGTGTGAGCGCCAGGTCCCTTCACACCTTGCGATGATGATGATGTGTGTTTGGTCTGCATTGCGACATTGATTGGGTTGATCATTTGTATTTTAGCCTTCCGCTGCGCTATCCTGTACTATGTGAGAGAGGTCGGTTCTTGTTCTGGTCTGTACCATTACGGTATGCGACACTGGAATTGCAGTCGCCTATCCATAAATGTCATAGCCAGGACTTTTATGTTCAAACCAGGTGCAGCGCTGTCGGCCTCTGGGCAGACGGCACAGTGCTCTTCTTCTATCCAACGAACAACATCTGCGAAATCAGAAACAGTATAAGGATTACAATTGTAAGCAAGGAGACATACATTAATGGCATAGTACGCACAGCACCCTCGCTGTAGCGCTATGGCATTGTCTGATTCCGCAGGTTGCGTGGGGGATCCGTTCACGGCAGGGGGAGACTTGTTCTATTCTGCAGGTTGCACAGGTGGCGGAGACTCGTTATGGTCTTGACCAACTGGATCCGATATGTGCTCTGAAGAGAGAGAATTTTCAACCGGGGCCTCCATCAGGTAATGAGGAGACGGGTCATTGTCATTTGGGGCACGGGAGCAAGTGGGGCTAGTTGGATGAGAGAGGGGCGGGTCAGGTGGGTGAGAACTGGGTGGACCAGATGTGGGAATCGGAAGCTGATCAGCCTCATTTGTGCTCAGGGCGGCTGCTAGCCGTGCAAACACTCCACAAGTAGCTGCACCTCGTGTCTGGTGCACTCGTAAGCCTGCAGCACTGAAGAAATCATTGCCACATTCCAGGCATCAGACTGGATGTGCACTATTCCTCGCTAGTGCATACTGAAAGCGACGATGCCGTTCTGTACAGTTGCGAGCATGTCGTTGGAGCAGATCTCTAACCCCTGCAGGGGGCGGTGATCATGCCATTCAATGACAAACGAGGCCGGTGTCTTGGAGGTTGCAGTGGAGACGGGGAACGTCTCCGCCGAAGAGGCATCTGTAACGATTGATCTAACAGCGGATGCCTCGGCCAACAAGGCCTTTGTGACGGCCGATCTGACCATGAATGCGTTGACGATGAGGTCAATGATGAGGAAGTATCGGAGGGAGGAGAGGAAGAGGGAGAAGAGGAAGAAGCAGTAGGGGAAGAGGAAGAAGAAGAAGAAGAGGCAAATGACTGAGAGGATTGTTGCATTAGAGGTCGTCGGTGGGGGTGGCGGTGATGATGGTGGTGGTGGTGCTGATGATGATGGCAGTGATTGCGGTGGTGGTGGTGGTGGTGGTGGTGGTAGGGGTGGTGGGGGTGGTGGTGGAGGCGATGGTGGCAGCAGTGGCAGTGGAGGACGTATACCTTCAGCAGCAGCAGCAACAGTCGCCGTATTGGTAGGATGCTGGCCTTCACCCCTTACAGGCCCTTCGGTAACATTTACATTGTTATTGTGGCTGGCATAGTCTCTGGCTGAGTTGGTGTATCGACATTAGCGTCTGCCATTTCAGCAGGGATAACAGGGGAGGGAAGGTCGACTGCGTTTGATTGTGCGGAGGGTTGATGCTCGCTGCGGTCAACATTGGTGTCAGGCAGTGAGTGGTGGCCTCTCGTGTGCGGTTGGGTGGAGGACCTGTGCAAAGAATCAGCTTTCGGGCGTGGGTGAGCAATTGCCCAGCGAACCATGCGGTGAAACCAGTTCGAAAGTCGTTTGACATGAGTTGGTAGCCGGCGCTGCCGGCCACGCACATATGCAGTCCAGCCTCTAGCCAAGACACTGGGAGGATGGCCCCTGACAAGCATACGTCGTGTCAGGGAAGTCGCTGCTGCTTTGAAGTCTATGGTATTGTTACATATATGTTCAAATCTCGTTAGTTGTCCCGTGAGCACACCTGCAGGCTGATGAGCCGTGGCATTGGAGGAAGCACTGGGATAACGTATGACAGGGAACATCCAGGCCTCGACCTTACCAAATACGCTAATGCGAAGTGAGCGATCAGGCCGAACCAGGATTGTGTGCGTGTGAGAGAGAGAGAGGGGGGGGGGG